GTCGGACGCTTAACCGACTGCGCCACCCAGGCGCCCCTGTCTGAGCTTTTTAAATCCAACATGTGCCTGTTCTTATCCTACACGTAACCCCCAAGTCCTCCCTGCCTCCATCACCCCTTGACATACTGTGGGGCCACTCCGGAAACAGGTTGTAAAGGCTTGCCGTGGGCGATCAAGAATATCCAGAATATCCCAGTGACCCACACAGACTGGGCACTCGACATCGCCAGGGCACAGAGAGGAGCAGACACGAAATGGGGGGGCCCCGGGAGGCTCCTTGGTCTCCCCCAGAGAGCAGCCATTCTGTGCCCTCCTGTCACATCTCCGTGGACATTACCTGGTGGCTCTCGGGGGCCTGACCCTCCACCATCCCTGGGTTCTGATGTCTCCCCTGTTGGTCCTCGGTCTCCTTCCCTGAGCCCTGTTGCTGCTGTCCTTCCTGTGCCGCGGGGACCCTGGAAGGCAGCACCCCCAGCTCACTTCCTGGCTTGGCCTGATCACGGCCTCCTTGCCGCAATCCGGGCCCTTGCTGGGGTGCCGGGGTTGACTGCTTCTTCCTGGGGAGAACGACAAAGCGACACCTCAGCTCCTGGATTGGGCCATCGTTTTATATTCTTAGACTCCTTTGTATTTCCCAGAGCGCCCGTGCAGGACTAGGCACACCAGAGGTGCATACTTAATGCTGGAGAGAATGAATGGAGGACTGACATGAATTCCCCAAATCCCAGATACTATGATCTCAGTGTTTCGGGGCGTTAGGATTTTATTATTGTTGTTGTTCAGAATAAAAAGAAACATCAGGGGTGCCTGGCTGGCTCAGCCGGTGGAGCATGTGACTCTTGATCTCAGGGTTGTGAGTTCAAGCCCCACCTTGGGTGTAGCGGTTACTTAAAAAATAAAAGAATCTTGGGGCGCCTGGGTGGCGCAGTCGGTTAAGCGTCCGACTTCAGCCAGGTCACGATCTCGCGGTCCGTGAGTTCGAGCCCCGCGTCAGGCTCTGGGCCGATGGCCCAGAGCCTGGAGCCTGTTTCCGATTCTGTGTCTCCCTCTCTCTCTGCCCCTCCCCCATTCATGCTCTATCTCTCTCTGTCCCCAAAAAATAAATAAACGTTGAAAAAAAAAATTTAAAAAAATAAAAGAATCTTAAAAAAAAAAAGAAAGAAAGAAAAGAAAAAAAGAAAAATCAGAGAGAAGAGAGATTGAGGGGCTTGAAGGCTTGAGCCTAGGCCCATAAAGCCGAAGGAGAGAGCTCAGGGTTGATTCAGTCTGTGCCAGTCTGATGTCACTTTCATGTTCTGGAGTATTTCCCCAGGCTTCTTCCTATGGATGTAACATGTGTATTTCTCATGGGGATTTAGTTCATTACCATCTTCAAACAATTGCCTAATTGTACACAGTTACGATTACGTCGTGTGTACAGCTTTGCCATCTTTTTTCTTTTTTTTTTTTTAATTTTTTTAACATTTATTTATTTTTGAGACAGAGAGAGACAGAGCATGAATGGGGGAGGGTCAGAGAGAGGGAGACACAGAATCCAAAACAGGCTCCAGGCTTGAGCTGTCAGCACAGAGCCTGACGCGGGGCTCGAACTCACGGACTGCGAGATCATGACCTGAGCCGAAGTCAGCCGCTTAACCGACTGAGCCACCCAGGCGCCCCCTTTTTTTTTCTTTTTTTTTTTTTTCTTTTTTGCCATCTTTTTTCAATGATCGTTTTAACCTAATTTTTTTCCGTGCCAAAACATCTCTCATACACACGCCTTTTAAGTGGAAGTAGAAAATTCCATATTCGATAAATAAGCATATTCGACTTTACCATTCCTCTGTAGTGGGTATTTAGGGCATACTGGCATTTCCAGCATTTTTAGCATTTAAAATGACGTGGCAGAGGGAAAAAACTTGCGTAAAACTTTGCCCACGTCGCCAATTATTTCCTCAGGGTGTATTTCTAGACATGGATGAAGGTAAAGGTATTTTTAAGGCCGTTGAAACAAATGGCCAAGTTGTTGAACAGATGTGTTGAAATGGTTTCTATTTCTACCGGTTCCCATCTGGGCGGAGGGGGGCTCCGACCTAGCTTTGCTTCATTTCCCTAACTTTCCATGTAGAAGAGATTATTCAGAGGCTTTTGGTTATAAGCAAATTAAAACGATATGCTGACTAGTCTGAACTATTCCTATTTCTCAAATCTTTCCCTTTTTGCTTCTGTCTGTTTCTCTTTCACTTTCCTCTTTTGAAAAAGATTACACTCTGGGGCTCCTGACTGGCTCAGTCGGTGGAGCATGGGACTCTTGATCTCAGGGTTCTGAGTTTGAGCCCCACGTTGGGTGTAGAGATGACTTAAAAATAAAATCTTTAAAATATAAGAGTCTCATACTCTGGTTTCTTTTCAGATCGTATAAAGCTTTTGCCTTTTAAAATAGGAGTCTTGGGGCGCCTGGGTGGCGCAGTCGGTTAAGCGTCCGACTTCAGCCAGGTCACGATCTCGCGGTCCGTGAGTTCGAGCCCCGCGTCGGGCTCTGGGCTGATGGCTCAGAGCCTGGAGCCTGTTTCCGATTCTGTGTCTCCCTCTCTCTCTGCCCCTCCCCCGTTCATGCTCTGTCTCTCTCTGTCCCAAAAATAAATAAACGTTGAAAAAAAAAATT